TGGAAGGGAATTGAAAGAACGCCGAGCACATTTTCGGCATTTAAATACAGTACTGCTTCATTTGTTCAAGAGTGAACATTTTTTGCTCAAGAATAATTAATCCGAGGGGTTCGATAATTTTTTCACAGTGCTCAAAAATACTTCACACGGTGAGCCATGAGAAACAAAATCTTTGTGGTGGTGGATAAAATACAGAATACCTATATCAGTTGACAGTTTCTTGAATAGTCAGCCAGGTGGTGCTCCTTGCGGTTCCGAATTCTTTGTATCGGGTGACTTCAAAATTTTAGAAGAATCTTTCCGACATTCTTTTTTTGCCAAATAAATAATGAGAAGGAAGAATAAATATTCTTGCGGCGACCAACATGCAGCATTCGATATTGAACTTCAAAGGATTGCTCAAAGAAGCACATTATTACACTGGAACTGCTCGAAAGTTGAAGAAACATGAATAATTTCAAGTCTCTGTCAAATATGATTAGGCTCAACACAATCTTATTATTAAAGCAATGTCCATCTGAAATTCTCAAAAATTACGTCAGAAATTCAGACAGAAAATCATTAAACCACTTCATCCCGTGGATTTTTTCTGGCATTGTGGCATGAACAACTGCATGTAAAGAAACTTCTCTTTTTTTGGGCTGCTTTCTTCTGAAGCGACGAATTTCACGGATTTTTAGTATCCCGGTGAAGTTTCGGCTTTCTTTTCGGATCCTTGAAATGAAAGTCGCCAACGCCTCAATAAAATGTTGTGAGGTGCTGAAGTGAAAAATAATCAATATTAACGTTTTCACCATGGAAGATGGAACTACTTGCTCATGCAATCGGAGCTTGAGCAAAAAGCTAGATCATGTTCTGTACTTCACTAATGGTTCAAAATCCCCAATATGAAGCACCCGGCGTCGAAAATTGCCGGTCAAACCCCGTTATAAGACGCCCGCAATAAGCCACCATCCTTGACGACCGCAAAGTTATTTTGAAAACCCAATCTTTCTTAATGGGGAAACTCCTTTAGAACGCCATACGCTAAAATGTATGACACCTCAAATATGCTTCAACCAATTAATTTTGCATTCAATACCTGGCCAACATGATCAAAGCTTCTGTGAGACGTCTCCAATAAAAAGCATGAACAAAAATATGACATTTTCCTTCTTGGAAGCATCATCTAGATATAATTTAGGTATCTTCGGGCTATTTCGATTTTTTATTTTAGATTACAAGAATTATATTTCATATTATACAGTAGAGAACTTGTTTTTCATATTATTTTGATTTTTCTGATAATCCACTATTCCAACCCCATTAAACCGCCACACGGATAAGCATGGGGGCTTATCGAGGGTTTGACGATAATAACACGAAAGAAAAAAAATAGCACGGTAGTTCCAAATTCACTCACCAGCACAAAAATCCTTTCAAGAATTGGGTAATGTGAGATCTTGAAGAAAACTTGTAAAACCCAGTTTCTCAACACATGCACTCAGAGACACCCGAACCTGAACCCCGAAGACGAGTTCCATTCAATCGCAGCATGTTTACTTGCAGTGGGACATGAACCTCCATGCTGCACCTGAGACGTAAACATGCTCAGACGAGAACGGGTCTGCGGTTCAAAAACGTCAATCGAAAGTGTTGCCTGGCACCGATCCGCAATAATATACATCTCCGATTACTCGCTAAATCCAAGCAATCAACACGAAGATCTTGGACACGTAATGGAAAGATGGGCTGCTCGTCGATAAAACCCGATTCTACGTCGCAGAAGCAACAGCTACACTAACGCTTGTTCTTCAAATAACCAGATCACCAAAGAAAGAAGGAAAAAAAAAGGTGCCGAAAATTCGGCGCGCGAGAAAAAGAATAATTTTACGCAGCAACCTGGAGCTGAGGTCGTCCCCGGGGTTTCACTTACGCATGAATGAAGGATCAAAGACGAGGTACATCCAATTACGGTCCTTCAAAGCGGATTTCGGACCATGTCCTCAGAACATGGCAGGACGTTCATTCGGCTCCATTTCTCCTCAAAGCCTATGTGGCGCTTGAACGCCCACTGCTTCCCGCGAAATCATTCTTCCTGTTCTGACGCAGAGCCTGCGCGGGTTATTAATTTCACCGGGCTTTCGAATATGCGAAGCAGCTTCACGCGACTCATCCTACAGTAGGGTTTAGACTTTGCCAATTTTTTTCACGTCTCGAGCATACAAAAATTAATCACCAAGAGAATACGCGAAACGTGGCTTCAAATTAAGGCATACATAATGGGACGCGAGATGTGCCTTAATTGTTGCCAACCGTCGAGTGAACAAACGTTAATCGTTAATCCCACGTACATACAGTAAACCTTTTTTTCTCTGCAGCGTAAGAGACAAATCGTGCGACTCAAATGTTATCCTTTTTTCGGTCTTTTCGACAGATTGAAAATCCACGCACATTTATTAACGATTGCGATATGAAATAGCGTGTTTACTCGATTACCTCGATCGTGAACCAAATGCCTTCAAGTAAGACGCGCATCTGGTTGTCTAGTCCTAAAATTTAGATAAAAACCTATCCCCAAGTATCACGCGCACCTTGGTGACTTTTGCTTCGTGACTAAAAAGGCAAATTTTTGAAGAAAAAAAAATGCACCGAAATCAAAGTTTCGGATTGAAATGAACCCAAAATGAATTAAATTTTAACGTCTCCATTGAAAATATTTCTAGATGGAAATTTTCTTCGAAAATTTCCCATAAGCATCGAGTATTACGGGCACCTAAACTTGTCAACATTTTTTTATTTATAAACGCTTACGAAGCGAAAATTCCATTTTTACACTTGATTTTGAAAAAAAAGGCGCGTGTGGTACTCGAGTAAATACGGTAAATGACATTTCAAATACTTTGTAAGCTATCGGTAAATCAGCATCGATCTGATGCAGCCGATCATCCCCTCTCCATATTTCTGAATTTTTCATGAGAAGCTCTTTCAACCTGTTAAAAAATCAGTTTTTTTTGCATTGGCGGCAATTCCTCGAAAAAAGCACAACTTTGAACTTCAATGAAGAAATGAAACCAGTCCACATACAGCAGTCGTTTACTTAGGGAAATGCGAAATTAAGTTATAGAGAGGCCGCTTCGGACTCACAAAATGTTCCAAGAGATCCATTCGCAGCTTTGTCTTTCTTAAAAAATTCAACTCTTTACCATCCTTGAAGTATGGGACTTCAGATCTAATTCACTAATACGCTTGAGGCAATGGTTTGTCTTCAGTTTCAAATGCGATCGAAGATCCAGTAGCTGTAGTCCATCTCGTGATGAACCTGTGGACATCACTCGAAGATATTATATCCACCAATTTAGTTTCCATTTATCGTTATTCTTCCTGATTATTGCATTACCTTTCTCCTGACACAGTAGAATATATTCATGGAACAGTATCTTCCCTGCATATCCTGGAAACAGACCATCACTCTCCCAAAAGAAATCGTTTCGTTTTCGTCGTATGAGCACATGAGATTACGGACCCGCAGGTAATAATCTGGGTCATCCGGCAAACACAGATGTGATAACATCTGCCAAGGTTAGATCAGAACAGGTGAGTTTAGTGAAGGGTTTAGATACGGTAAATAAGCATAAATGTGTGGTTACTGCTTTACTTTACAAACTAAAAATCAGAACATTTGAAACAGTTTTCCTCCATAGACTGTTCGTAGAACTATAAATCAACACAGTCAGCTCCTCAGCCAAGTTCGGAAAAATACCTACCAAATTGTAAGAGGCCTTCCGCAATCACCATGCATGAGACATTCGTGTTTGAATACAGATTCATCGTTTTTTCGGGAGACTTCTTCAAAAAAATTTTTTTTTTTTCATTGTCATGGCAACCATAATCGGAGAAATTGAAATCAAATCAAAACTTATGCTAATCGAAAGCATTTAACCTTCTTCTCGTCATACATTGAATTTATATATTTGTTCGTCTCTGTCCAGAAGATTCTTTCCGATTTTCGGGTCCACCCGGAAATATTGTAAGTAACAAATCTCGCAAATAAGTTTTCATCGATCAGAAATTATGACTTCTTGATGAATAATCGTCCAAAACTTCGTCTCAGCCTTATTTTTAATCACATAAAACGAAGACACGCATGACGCACCCACACAAGAAATTTTGAACGAAGTGCATCCATCATTGCCATTTTTTATGAAGATTATTTTCAAAAACTGCATTTTCTACCGGTTGATGAACAAGTCCTTATTCGTAGAAGGACTAGGTTGCCTAAAGCCTGATTTCACACGGACTGACAATTTGACGAAAATGCCGTCAAATATTTTCAGTAGCTCGGAGATTATAGCGTCAAGCGCAGTCTGATCGTCATATCCTCGAGGTGCTGCGATATTCACGATATTCAAACGTAGTCAAGCGTAAGAACATTGAGATTCCAAAGGCAAGACCCAATAATACCCATAAACACAAAATTCACGAACGGCCGTCATGCTGTAATAGACACATCGTTCTTACATCGCACTGTGATGATCAGGCATGAGATAGGTGAGGAATCCGGCGATCACGATGACCCTTCGAAAACACAGACGATCGCATCCACTCCGAACCAGAAGCTTATCTTCGTAGGTAGCAGGTCCATTTCGTTGAAAATCCAATCGTTACTGACTTCGTGAATAAAAATTTCTACTTGCTCGCGCGATCGGCAATTAATAACGGAGGCGGCTTTTTGGAGGATTATGATGATCGATCACTCCTCCAAATGTAAGCTGCATCCACAAAAATCTCGAAGAAAACACAGAATCGATCTACAACGCACATTCAAAGCTCACCTGAACAACACGAGGAACACAAATGCAAAGGAACAGCAAAACCTACGGAGAAACAGAAAGACCATAATTTTCCATGCACTTCTTGAAAATTGTAATCTAAAACTTAATTGCATTCTCAAGAACCATCAAAAAAATTTATAAAAATTGCTAATATGCACAACTTCAGAATTCAAACGCGAAGCAGGCTGCAAAGAAATGCGAATATATTTCGCATTCAAATCCAAGGTCAGTGGAAATCTAGGAGACTGGTTCAAGTTGAAAATAATACACTCAGACATTTGAAATTAGGGATAACGCACGTTTCGCACAAGCTTTTTCGTGCATCACGCGCACAATATTCCAAAATTTCCCAGAACATAAAAAAATCGGTGCGTGCCTTGCAATTGAACTTTTTATAAAACCAATTGTTTTATTTTAACCAACAAAAGTTTGGGTTTTACACGGGGGTCACATAAAGTACAGCACTTAATACGGTATCGCATTTAAAAAAACAATTTACGAAAATAAAATGACAAACTTCAGATGCGCTTGAAAAAAAATTCTGAACCGATGGTAGGGCAGCGAAAAATCTTATTTCGAATGCTTCACGCGATGAAGAAATAAATTCATGAATGATCATATCACTGGTAGGCGCAGGATCGCAACCACTTCACATCAAGCTCAACCTTCGACGCAATTCCGCCAACTGCAAAAGACAAAATGACAATCAACAACAGCTTCATCACTTGATCTTTAGAAAAAATGTGTCAGTTTCAAAACGGTAAGCAACCGAGGAATCTACAGGTACTGTATTACTGTATCAGCACTCAATAATTAAGGCTCGATTTTAAGCATGAATTTGTTGACTGACCTCTGCTTCCTTTTCATTCTCTTCCTGCGCGATAGCGTCCAATATTACTTGGAATCTCTGTCGCAACGCGGTGTTCTCCACCAAAGTCAAATTTTGTTCCTGTGATCTTCGTTTAACGGCCAAGTCAGTCAATTCTCGCTGAAGGCTTTCGATTCTTTCTGTCAGAGCTACTGCAAAATAGGGAAATCTGCAGATTATCAATCGTCACCACGATGAACAAATGAAGCTAACCACGTCGGTCTTTCGGTGAAGAAGTACTGGGACTAGCTCGATTTCCAGAAAGACCCTCAAAGGTGAATTTCCCCTTGGACGGAGTAGAAGGAGTTGGAGAAGAAGTCTCGTCTTTCATCTGTGCAGGGAGAAAAAATGATAGTCGAGACTCGTAATGCGAATAACTTGACAAAAAAACCGCACCAATACATGACTTGATGACATGGTGCCACAATATCGTTCGCACAAAAGAAAAATAAAAAGAGGAATTTTGACACATACCAGTTTTCCCATGGAAGCGCTGTCATCCAGGGACATTCTGGAATCTTCGTCGGTCAGTCCAGTCGGCGGTCGAGCGGAGACCGAGGGAACCTGTTCTTCGTCTGAATCACTCAACGCCTCGCCGAATATGTCATGTTCTCCTACAAATATGGCACAGTAAAACGATAAGCTCCGATTTGAAATGATCATTACAAGCGAATACACATCGGTGTTAGAAGAATGAAAAATGCCGGACTGGAGAAGACAGAACACGAATCTCACCGATTTCTGGTTTAATAACCATCGAATTAGAATCTTCATTATCTGCAACATCCAAGCGGGACGACGAGTCTTCATTTAATCCATAATCTTGCGAAGAGCTCGGACCCTGTTGATTCCTCTGTTTGCCCTTCGGTATTTCTTCATCGACAACCACTTCATATTTAACACTCACAGCTTCCACGTCCACTTGAAAAAGTCGCTTCACTTCCTTCTCCACTTCAGGAGCGTCATGATACTAGAGTGCACCATTAGACGATTTAATTATAACGCCAAGCAGGTCAAGCGATCATCAACAAATCTTGTGACGGACATTCGGAAAATCATCCGAATACTTCAGAAGTTCGATTCTTCAGAAGTACGTTACTTTATTTCGAAATGCGCTTATTTTCATGACTTCGATTTCTGAGGCAAAAAAGGATGAACCGTACGAATAACATTTGAAAGAAAACTAATTCATTTCACACATATTTTAAAACTGCAACTTTGATTCAGATGACGATTTGTTCACCCATTAGCATTCAGTAGCATTCACATTCAGCGAAAAGGATTTCCAACATCAAGACTATGGATACACGGTTGCCAGATCTGAGACCAACTATCCAAAATTTCCCGATAATTTCAAGCACTTCGTAGGACTTGAACAGCACTGATTGATAAAAACAGCATTGATAAAAATGGATACTGTAAAGTGAGTGGTAAACATTCTTATCTAAAATAAGGTGCACCTTAACCCACCCCTTTCTTGATTTCAACGTGGTTCAACGTCTCTTGATTTCTTCGGATTTTTTGGATGTCATCGATACAGTTTCAATTTTACTGAAACTGTATCGATGACATCAGTACAATACAGTTTCAGTACAATACAGTTTCGATACAGGTTCAGTAAAACTGAAACTGTATCGAGGAATTTATTATCCATCTCTACATGAAAATGCCACCCATTTCCATCAATATCAAGTTGAACAAGGGAAGAGAGAGACTGAAAAAACGTATGAAAAAATACCTCATCCTTCCGTTACTGATAAAAAAGAAAAGCGGACTACCTTCTTCCGCAGTGTCTTCCGGAATCTTCGTTTGCGAACGTTTTTCAGCGGTGGCGTAATACCGTGCGGCCACAGAAACTTCTTGTCGACCTTGTTCGGGTCTTTTTTCCGCGGTTTTTCGGCCGAATCATCTTCTTGGACAGGTTCTTCTCCTCTCTGGCAAACTATCATCTACAAGCACAATGTTGTTCTGCATCTCAAAAAATTAAAAGTTTCGGATGTGCTCCACCTGAACAATATCGGCCGTTTTATAGAAGTTTTTGCGATCGATAGTCTTCATGCATTCAGTAATAGTCGGCAAATCGACCACCTGGAATGCAGATGTGCACAGTTACACGAAATATCACAGTCAACATCAAGCTCACGAACTTTTCCATGCAAAACCTCGTCCTCAAATCGCACTGTGACTTTACGTAAGTCATTGTCAATCTTCATGTTAAGTTTCTCAGCAATGATGGGGTCGTAAATAACCTTTCGAATTTTACCAGCCACATCCTACGAACGAGAATTCGAACGTTCTCAAAATGAACATGCATCAATCCGCATTGCCTTCCAAACCTCAGGCACACGAAGGACAAGTTGACTGTCAAGTTCAACCTGATCATCCTTCCTTCGTCGGGCGTCTCCTGATTTATGCATATATAACCCGCAGTTGCACTGACGCAGTTCAAAACGATGTCTGCAAAAGATTGAAAAATCAGTTTTCTGATCAGAATGACTAATGAACGACAGCGCAGAGGTTGTTGGAATTATTTTTCGAAAATGAGCCAGAAGCAAATTATAAAAAACATATGAACAAAGATGGATCTCAGCGTTTCCTCAAGGTTCTTAAAAGAACAGGCGCACTTCTCCGTTCCGTCGTTTTCGAGTTTTTGGAGAGTCTACTTCGACTCGGAGGAGTTTCGATCACAAGCTCCCTTTGCTCTTTAACAGCTTCGCCGTCAACACCATGGACTTGCCAACGAAACGGTTGGATAGGCTTGAGTTCGTTGAGGAACTTAAACGGACGCATAGTGTAACGATGTTTTGCGTTCACGGCATCCACGAACGCGAACGTATTAAGAAATTCCCAAAGGAATCCGATCGGGAATTTCTTTTGAAGCACTTTCGTTTGCAATTCTTCGTGTATCGCCAACATTCGCCAATTTGCCATCGGCCCGAGCGCCGCATGGCTCGCGTACAACTTCAAAAATTCGCGACCCGATTCGTGATCATACAAAAAGAAATTGTCTTCTTCCATCTCACCTGAACCAAAAACGAGACCCATATTCAGTATCTCATGAAAACAGTAGCTCAGAAAAAACTAAATTTTTCAGATCGTCGGCAGGATATTCATCACATCGCCGCTCGAAACAGAGGTGAGAAAAACAAGCGAAAATTCGGAAAGCGCTCTGATTCAAAGAGAAAGTCTATCCCATGGGACTTATTGCCATCAAATTAAACGCCATTGAAACGAAATAAAAAAAAGCGTTCAGTGAATGCTGAAACACAGCGCGCAACGAAAGATCTGTCGAATTGTCACAAAAAAATAAGATCCAGGAATACTATTCGCACTCACGACGCGGAACAAGGAACAGTTAGAACCATCACATATTTCCTGACCTCGGTTTTCTTTCCGGCAATCTTAGCACTTCAGATTCCCTAAGGCACAGGGCAGTTTCGCGCCGAATGAAATTAGTCATTCTCGCGGAGAGAACCCGCTAATTCCACAGACAAAAAAAAAAATAGTTCACACTTGATAACGGTCCAGAAGCGTCATTTTATCTTTGATCCGGGGTTTTCCACGACCACGGCTTCCTCCTCGACCTCGACCTCTTCCTCGTCCTTTTCCGCTTTGTTTACCGCGAATAGCTCGGTGTTTTTCGACAAGATTGGAGAATTCGGCAGAGCAGAATAAGCAACCAGTTGCATCCGTCGATCCATCAGGTAATTTACTCTTCCCCTAATTTAAGTATCAGAAAGAACAGGTCATAATTATTCCACCAAAACACCATCTGTTACTGGAACACGAAGTCCCAAAATTCCTACAATTTCTGAACGAAGAAAGTTGTACTGAAAAATCATCATATAAACCCGCCGGACACAGACATGAACTCCCCATAGACGAGCACTTTAAAATGAAGCTGCTTCCGAAAAGAAAAGTTCAAATTAGGAGGAAGGCCCAGTATTACAAGAACTTGATTTAGGGTGACGAAAAAAAAGCGTACCTCTTTGTACTCCACAGAAACCTTCTGTGAATTGCACTCCTCACACGTTTCATTGTCGCGCACACAGACGCGGGAGGCATCTGTGAACACTCTCAAAATCACGTTGCAACGATTGCAGCCCAGCTTCCAATTAGGCCCAGATGACGGATCTAGCGCCAATAATCCAGAATCACAGTCAGGACATGCTGTTACCCCATTCGTGATGACACTGTGAGGACAAGTAGGGTGGACACACAAGTTGCACCCATCACCCTTCTTCATATCTTTGAAGGGTGGATGGTTGAAGCAGAACGGGCAAAACGCATAGCTCTTTCCACGAGGTCCGTTGGAAACCGTCAGCAACTCGAAATCGTCAATTGGACACTTCAACTCCTTGTACAGTTTAATGTTTCCGTCTTGCGGTAGGGCGTAAGTTTCATCACAGTTCACGCAAAATAGGCGAGTTGGTCGAGCGGTGATTAGCTTCATATAACGTCGACATTTTCCGCAACGGCAGAAAGGTTTTCCAGAATCCGCCAATTTTGAGAAGGAAACTTCGAATAATTCATCCATCGCATCGATAGACTTGACGAAGTAGATGAACTTGTTTAGAAAAACATCCAAGGTGTGACGCAAGATAGCAGAAAAATCAGCTTTTCCTGCCGCGATCAAGTTCAATTGTTCTTCAACGGCGCTTCGCATCGTCGGGAGCACCAAGTCTGGATCAATCTGCGATCATCAAAGAAACCTCATTCAATATTAACAAATTCGATAATAATCCCCACAAAAAAAATGCGCAGAACATCCAAAAGAAAGGAAAACTCGCCTTCTGATAACCGTGCACAAGCACAACGCCCAGCGTAGTTGGCTTCAGCTTTCTTCCACTTTCGACTGTTACATAATTTCTGACGCAAATGTTATTAATGTGAACGGGAATCGAAGCATCGGTTCCGATGCCATGCTTTTCCATCAAAGTAATAAGCTCTGATTCCGTCAGGTATTCTGGTGGTGTGGTTTCCTTGTCCAGCATTTTCACCTCGATAATAGGTAAAATTTGCCCTTCTCGGGCCTCCGGAATTCGGTCCGAATGAGAGTCCAGCCCTTGCCAAGTTAATATGGACGTATATCCAGGATTTATGGGTGTCACACCAGTACAAGAAAATATCTCCGAGCCAATGACGGCTTCCAAAGTGGTCGACAGGTACTTGCAGTCATAATGTACCTGCAAATCGAAATACATACAGCGTGGAAAAAAAGTAGCATCGTCATTCGCAATTGGTTAGGAAATTCAACGCTCGAAAAAATCATATTACAGTAATACCAGCAGAAAAAATGTACACAACGGGAAAGATTTTTACATATCCTCAACTTTGACTTTTCAAACAACTTGCCGACACTTGCAATAGCTGAGGCTGCAACGTCGACGTGAACAGGCTTTTTTCCCTCGAGAGCACTTCCGCGAAGAGAAATGATGAAGCAGAATGAAATTGGTAGAGAGGTAAAGCAAGAGTTTCCATCTTGGCATTCTTTCTGGACTGTCAAATGTCACCATTATTTTTTGTCAATGCATGTCGGAATAAGTTTCAAGTATCAAAATATGTCTGGGATGATCTTTTCAACCATCAGGCACGATTGCGAATGTTGAAATACGCGTCAGACTTCGATGTAGAGTACAGGAATAATATTAATACGTACTTTCGCTAAAACTTAAAATTCAAAAAGCAATTCAGAAAAAAAAAACCAAAAACTCAGCAGTACATCATTTCACGAAAAATAACGGCATAAATTCGGAATGTGTGAACCACTTACCGTGGCCAAAAAATGTTGCACGATGAAAATGTACAACCGGAAGCTTTCAGGATCCATGTCTCCGAACGACATTGCTTTCATCGGAGTGATCGGAGGATGATCACCAGCATCGTGTCCTTTTTTCGGTCGGTTCACGCCGAGTCTCATCAAAGATCTCACGTCTTCCGCTAGCTCAGGAACTCTTTCCAACATTTTCACAGTAGCTCTGAAAGCCGAGGTTCACTTTTTCGATGTTTCGTGTGGATTTTAAAATAATAATACCGACTTGATGTCAAAATTCTCCGGGTAGTGAGTCGTTTCCGTGCGAGGATATGAAATGTACCCGCTGGTATACAAGCGCTCCGCCAATTGCATCGTGTGCTGTGGACCCATTCCAAGACCTGAACTGCAGCTTCTCAACATTTCGACCGTATTCAACGCTAATGGGCGAGATTTGGATTTCTCCTTTGACGAAATCTTGACAATCCTGAAATAAGGAACACGAAAAATCACGGTAGTGAAAATATCATTATGAAACAAAATGCTCACTTTGCTTCACTGTGGACTTTGACTCGATTGAAGAACAATTGAGCAACTTCCTTATCGAACGACCGCACTCTTCCCCAGCTTAATCGAAGTTCAGATTCAGATACTTTTGTTTTCACACTAAGGGTCCAATAGGGTTCGGGTTTAAAGCCTTGAATTTGATCGTGTCTCTCAACACAAAATCCAAGAGTAGGGGTTTGACATGGGCCATACGAGAGCAGCTCGAAGTCTTCCGATCCGTATTTGTCCTGAATAATTAAATTTCAAAAGTGTACATCGTAACATCGGAACACATCTTACGGTCTTACCCGAAAAAATTTCGTTTGAAACCTCGTGAAAGCACAGCCTATTCTCAGATCCAACTCTTGTCGCGCATCGACACTCCTGGACTCGTTTTCGTTCGGGAAACCCAAATTTTTGAACGCGAGTTTGATGTCTTTCTCCGAAAGAGCAGAAAAATGAGCTCGATAAACTATCTGCAAAAAAAAAAAAGAAAACACAATCTTTGTAAGTCGATGATCTCACTGAAGAAGCTTACCTTCTTCGCCAGAGATATATCTCTTGGCAGCTTCATGGCGTTTCTAACGCAATCAATCACTTCAAAGCAAATGTTCTCTCCTTCCTTGTCACAATCCAGCCAAAGGATCAAGAAATCTGCCCCTTTCGCCTCATGAGACAAGAACGACGGAATATTCAAGTTTTTGTTTGCTTCCCGTTTCTCCGTAGGGCAATGGAATAGCTCAGCCTTGAATATAGGAAGAACGAAGACTTTTAGTAATATTTTGACGTCTTTATAATCTTCACCATACCGGATCAACGACACCCCAATCGTTGTACTTCGACAAAAAATCCAATCCGTATACATGTCCACAGACCGAGGTCATCTTGAATCTCGTGGGAGAATTGTCGAAGGTATCCGACCATTCATGAACCAAGCACGAACCTTCGGTAATAAATACTGTTAGACGTGAAAACAATGTCTCGATGCGCTTCATTACGGACCTTTCCTGGTTTGCAACTTATTGTTGCTCAAAATTACAGCGATTGTTTGAGCCAAGCTCGGCTTCTCGGCGATCATTAAAGCAGTCTTCATATCCAAAAATCACATCAACAATAACCGGTATTCGCAACAAAACCCCAATTCTGCGGTCAGCAATAACCTTTCCGGTATCTGCGAAGAAGATTCATGATTATTCAATTTTCACTCTTCGAATGCAACTGAGCTACAGTACACCACTTCGCATAATATAGGCTTTCGATACACAATTACCGAATCTGTTCCGCATCAAGAACATCACGCGGATAGCTTCTTCCTCCGGCAGACAGTTCTGTTGTCTCACAGCTATTCCCATTCGTATCATGCGGGACACAAGCATTCAGGAAGAAATTTATCAGAAATTTTCCATTTGAAGGAGGTTTCTTATTGACGCACTAGCCACGCATTGCGATCAACTATTTATAATCCTATGTATACGCCTTCAGATGAAAAAGCGTCAAATTCAAGGCATTAGACCAGCAAGCCAGCGGCGCACAAGGAAACGGCGCTCAAACCCGCGTCCACATTCAAAATTCACCCAGAGGCTACAGACCAACCTCATTCTCACCTCGCTTGTGCTGCATTATCGCGCCTCGCCCATGCCCACTTTGTTTACACCGCCATAGCAGCGACCATGATGACTCGGTGGAGATCACAGCATTGTCAAAGATTACTCAGACTTGATGCCGAGAAAATCACCCGTGGCCACCAATCACCCTGATCTTCTCTTATTGCAGGCTTTGCTGCTTTCCTTTTGCGGGTTTTGATTGCCTTCTTCTGCAGGTTTTGCTGGTCTTCTTTTTCAGTGCTTCAAATAGACAGATATGTGCATTACGTGCAATGGAGTTCCTGTTGAATATAAAGGTGTGTTAATATGGTGAGGGGTGAATATAGTGCTTCCATGTACACATCCCATAGTATGCATTCATTTCAGCAGAATGTTCACATCACAAATCCTATGATACCAAAGCAGTAAAACATTGTAATGTTGAAGTTTTGATTTTGCAAATTTATTTCAGCAGGCACATACTGTTAAGTGTTGGTCTCTTTTCAGATTTCCTTCAATTAACTTACTTTACTTTATCCTTTCACGAATAGTTTCTCCAATAATAATTGGAATTACAAGGCTTTAAAAAAGGCTTTAAAATCTTTCGGGAATTCTGGTGAATGTTGAAGACCACTTCAAGAGCATTATTAGTCTAATACATCAGAAAATAATATATTTCACTGTTGAACTTAATAATTAAATTTTGGGAACAAGTTTGAATTCAAATTACGAGGAAGCGCTGATTGTAGCAAAAGTTCAATTAATGAACATTATATACTGTATAGTGATGACCCAAATGATAAAAATGGACACTCTATTAATATAGAGTGGTACGTACCTTGTTTTGTCTATAAAACGAACACCCTGCATCTTACAATGATTACAGTATTCTGATTACAGCATCCAAAAATGCTCATTATTGTGATCATTTTGCTGTTTTCTTGTTTTTTTGTTTACATCGAAACTTGTCATGGGAACTCATTTCTCTCCTTTATCACAATATATTCTTTCAGCGCTTCCTGAATTTTTTTTTTTCATCATGCAATGGCAATACATAGTACTTTCTCGTGACTCATATAGAAACCCTTTTAAACTTTTTTGAGGGCGGAGCAGATTTGCAATTCATTTTACCTTTCTCAATTAAAAGGGGCCGTTGGGCAGTAATTTGGTATGGGTTATAAATTTTATAGAAGTATTCCATACTTTTGTAGCATGTACTGTACTGTATTTGAATAATGGTTGGAACATCAGACGACCATGAACCGTAATATGATACTGTAACACTGATGTGATTGACATTATGTTCCGTATAGTGCCTCAATCCAAATACAGTACAGTATTATAAATTATATAACGTCATCTAGGTGAGTGTGACATACAGTAGTAATTCATAGGATGGTCAAGCGCTGGATTGTCCGCGAAAAAAAAAACAATGTTTCATAATTGCAACAACGAAAAAAAACATGTAAGAAAGACATTTCCTTCAGCAGCCTTTGACCTGTATAATTGAATGAATAATTAACGATATGAAAAGAGATAAAGAACCGCAGGTTATCCAAGGTTTACCTGCTTCTTTTACACCTGTACGCAGCAGCTTTACAAGCATGTCAATCCGTGTCACCTGTCCCAGAACTTACCATCGCCACTGGCCACGCCGGCAAGTAGCCCATTTACAACTTTCATTTTTGTATAATGATTAGATATGCAAAGTCTCCAGTTTTAGTCGGCGGCATTAATTCATTCAGACCTGCTTATCAAACAAAACTCAACTAATCTTTCTATACAAACTACCGTCAATCGATTATTCTCGTCTGAATGCTCCTTTCATTCCAGCGCATCATTCGAAGTGTTGTGCTTACTCCCTGATGTGTTATCTTGGTCAATTTACAATATATTTGAGCAAAGTTTCTGGAATTTTCATTAGTTCCTCTTTTCCTCCATGAATTTTTTTTTCGAAAAGTTATAGAGCATCTGTGAAATGATTTTACAAAATACTACTGTATTATGCCCTGTTTCTTTTTTAAGAATACTGTATTCTGAAGAATGCAGATCATATTATACTGACTGATTCATTTCAAGTATTGATTCATTTTCCCCGTGCCAATGCTCAAGTTGGGAACAATCTGGGTGCAGAAAATCCCATTGTCTCAAGAAATCTCCAAATGTTAATCCTGTGTTGGGAATGCATGAAAAAAAATGCCATCCAGGGAGGAATTCTTTTTTGACCAACATTTTCTGTAGTGTTTTTTTTTTAATATTGGAAATTTTCATGACTTAGGCTTTGGTTTAAAAATCATATTTTTTAAATTTAAAGCTCTCATAGGGATACAATTTTTCAAAAAATATCCTGACTTTGCTGCACAAGGGTTGAGAGTCATTGAATTCTAGTTATAATCAGGCGCAAATGAGTTGGGGGACAGAGATATACAGTATTTAAAAAATATAAACCTGGCTCATTGAAAGCTTAGCAGTGAAGACTTTTAAGAGAAGAATTGAATGAAAGGCAAAAAGTGCCATTGACTAAATTTCTCACAAGAAATGCCTCTGAGCAAAATGAAAATTATTATCTTAACCAATATTTCTAGGTGATACAGCCAAGTGCCGTTCACATGCAATGACACTCTTTGGGGCTTTGCAAAGAATTTATGTGCTCCTTGCTGCTTCTCCTGCAAGGTGGAAACTCTTGATAGAAGGTGTTCCATACTTGACTACAAAGCCATTGTCAGATACTCAATGGGAATGCTACATGGAAAGTGTAAAAGCCTTGAGATAACAAATGAGTGAGATGAGAGATACTCATTTTGCTGTAGCTGATGAACGCACAGATCCTATGGTTAGATCTGAAGCAGAGTCTCTTGCAAACGTTGAGATAGAAAGCTTTGAATTCATGCTTTCCACAGTCATTTGGTATGATATCCAGCTTTCTGTTAATACAGTGAGCAAATCACTACAATTTGCTGACATGCAATTGCTGGATGTGGCAATTGATCAAATTAAAGGACTATACAATATAACCACAATTTTGGAAACAGGTTTCAATTTTTCAACAAATAATGCAAAAAAATATGTTTTTGCATTTGCAGTTATTGTGGCATGGTTTTGCATGGAACAGTGCAGCATGGCAAAGCTATATTATTTTGTAAAGCCTGGCCATGCCATACTGTGCAATGGCATACTGTGCAATGGAATGGGGGAAGGCAGGCAGGGACAGGGCTTTGCTGGGGGGGGGGGCAGTTTGGTGCTTTGGCAGGGCAGCATGGTGCATGAGAGGGGGCTATATTAGCCATTCAATAATGCCACTAAGGCTGTACCTTGATATGGGTGACTGTCACCCATGTGATATGGGTTCAATAGCAGTGAAAGTATGTGTGAATTATTTGCTGGGTATAATAGAGGTAGTTGACTCAAACAAAGCACCCAGAACAAGTGCAACTGTAAGGTGACATTGGTGACAACAGCGATGGCAAAAATGTTGAAGATGATGATGATGATGCTGGGTGTTGGCCAAGGAATGGGAGCAAGGATGAAGGCCTTGTTGCCATTGACATCCATGCTGGTCTTTGTCAGGGTCTTGATAACAACCTGATAATTTGATTCATCCTCTGCTGGGATTGTTTCCCCTCATCCCCAAACAGCTGTCTCCAGTGCTCCCCCCCCCCCCCAGATTTGTTCATCCATTGCACTCTCATGATGATGGTAATGATAATCGCGGTGGCCATTTCTGTTCAGATGCCACGAGCTGATCCGAGGAAGAGCATCCGCGTGTATTTCTCCAGTTTGCAACAGCCACAAACGCGGACGCCAGCATTCCTGCATATTCATTGTATCCTGTGCTGCAGACACCCTGGATCAAAGATCTCCGATAACTGCTGCCTCCAACCACAATCATTCTTGCTCTTCTTGGGGCACATCAACCAGATGTACAGTATGTAGCGACTCTAGCGAGCTCATCCTATCTTCCATTTATTATTCTCATTGGCAATTGAGGTACATTATAACCTTAATTATCCATAACTCATCAATTAACCGTAAATTTAAATAATAATGATAGTCAGGACGAAAATTGCTCTGGAAATCAGAAATATTTTGCTTGCTAGCTGCATGTATATGCTGCATGTATGTAACCAATTTTACTTTTATTGGCATTGCAAAAAAACGTTGTTCTCAGTTTTTTATCGATGCTCTCTCATTTGATTTTATAGTGAAGCATGTTTATACTTTGCTCTCACTATATTGAGAGGTTTATTCTACAGGCATACTGCCATATCTGCATTTTTTGTTCAGAATTATTCATGCACCCCTCGCTAGCCAGTTATTGAAGGAAACAATAAGTTAACATCATATAGCCTACATAATCAAGGTTCACGATCAAGTATTGTAATACAGTACATTTGAAAAATTAATTTCATGCATGGTTAAAGGCATTTTACTTTGGAATAAAAATAAGAAAATTATTAGTGAAAATTTTTGAGCATACTTTGGGATTTTATTTCAACCCTCACGCTGTAATAAGGTGGTAAAACAATACCGAAAGTATTGGAATATGAAGAAAAAACGTAATTGAAAAACTGTTCATAAAAATACTGCGCCTA